CAAGGCTGATAAAGGCAGATTTTCCTCCTTGCAGATTCCCATGATATAGTGGAGTGAAATCGTGAAGTCTCTCCCATCAGATGGAAGAATTTCACAGCAGCTGAGTAGTTGAGTTCCCATGCCAACATCTGTCTCAGCAATTTTTTTTTTTTTAGGGGATGTTATCTGCCTGTTGTTTTGTAAGTATAAATGTGCCAGAGAACTGGATGAGAAAGTAGAAGTGCAGTGACAGGATTTTACAAGAYAGAAGTAAGGGAAACCGGGTCTACTTCTGAAATGCCTCGTAAGACATAAAAGGTTTTCCAGTGTTGATATTTCCAAAAAGACACCTTGTTGGTTTGGGCTTCATTTAAATGTTGTTAGCTTGTGAGAATTCTGAATGAGATTAGAAAATAAGAGAAAAGTCAACTACAACCTTAGGTCTCAGTAGAAGTTACATATTTACGAACAACAAATGCAAAGCAAACAACTTCAAGCCACTCAGTAGTCTTTGGGTGAGGTGTCCTGTTTATGATCTGCCGAGAAAAGATAAATACAGATGTGATCCATAGAAGAGAAGTGTTGTCCTGCAAGCCTGTCTCTACCAGAATCCATGGAATGAACACTTCTTATGTCAGTGCTTCAGCGTCTCTTCCATAATGTGTTGGAATATAATCCATGTGTTACCTCATTCCACGTGTTGGCCTACATATTCTATGCATTTTAACCACAGTGGCTGATCTCTGCTGAACTGGCTGGTTGAAAGCTTCCCAGCCAAGAAACTGCAATGTTTTATTTGGAGCCCTCTCCATGGACAAAGAAGCAAGGAAAGCTAGAATTAGGTTTCCTGTAGAAGTCAAAATAAGAAAACTAACTTTAGAGAGTTGATGGCAAATTCAAATTTTAGGAGACAAGCACACATTTTGGGATGGGTTCCTTCACCTGTGCAAATCTGTGATTTCTCTGTTGACTTTTTAACATCCTTTTTTTTCATACAAAATCAAAGGTTTCTTCTGCCCACAGTGTTCAAGTGACTTTGGTTGTCTTAACAGAATAAAATCTTGAGGAGTTGGCTCATGCAGTATGAAGTCTGCAGTAGAATAGTCAAATATTTTTAGAGATGAACATTTAAGTGACTACCAGAAGAGGAGCAGTCTTGCTGGTCCTGAACCATTCCTTGCTTGTGGGCCCCTCAGGGAACAAGTGAATACACTTTCCTAGGGAAGAATCCTACCAATTTGTCATCCTCCAGGCAGGAATTTGTTGATTAAAGATAGGTGTGAGTTTATGTGATTTGTAGGAGATCCATCTTTTCAGATTTTTTAAGTGCTCCAAGTCTAATAGCAGGCTGTGATCAAAGGGTGATGTTGAAGTCCATATCTGACTCCAGATTTCCTCTCAGGCCATTTGCAGAGTGTGGTTTCAGATTCAGGTAGAAGAAGTCAAACTTGGCTTTAGTTTGGAGCTAGGTGGGTTATTGCAGTGGGCAAGGCCAAGGAGGAATAATGAACAACACATCAACACCTGCTAGGGTGTTGTGACAGTCTTAGGGAAAGTAAACTGCAGTCTCACTTTAATCAAACGTTGAAGCGTGGAATAAAATTTGTCTACCTATGCAGTTTGTCCAGGACTTGGAACTGCCAGAGGCAGGAACAGAGAGTCACTGAACTGTCAGCCTCTGTTAGCGGAATTTCAGGGAAAAAAATACAAGAGTAGTCAGTTATGGAAGTCCCAAAACCCCATTGGCTTTTGACAGTAATTTAACCTGATCAGATATTGCCTGGTCCTAGCTGCCCAACCTTTTGCTACTGTTGCTAATGATTAACTAAGGCCTACCTTACAAACTTAAGGCTAGTGACCTTACAGGGGAGAATTGCTGCTTTACAGATGGCTTTTTTTCTTTTTCTTTTTTTTTTTCTTTTTTTTTTTTTTTAAGTCAAGTAGTTTGGTTTGGAGATTGCTCCTTGGAAGAAGTCCAAACATAGTTTCATTCATTTGTTCCAGTGGGTGAGCCTTGGCAGAACCTGGCACAGCTGGGGACAGCACAGGAACCAAACCCTTTCTCTCAACAAATGCMATGTTCTYGAAACAGTTTACCTAAAGACCCACCTTCATGCGGCTTTTGGCTCCGGTGCTGTGGGCACTGGAGGGAACTGAGTCATTTTTATGGCAGAGGCATCCATCGTGATACAGCTGCCATGTGAGCTCAGAGCTGAAAGAAGCGTAGATGCAGCTGAAGGTTTTCCCGTTCGAGCAGCAGATGCCTTTCCCCCGTGCTCAGTTGTGAGATGCTTGGCCCCCTGCCACAGCTTTCCTGTGCAAATTTGAGAGAGTGCTTCACCTCTCCCTTAGCATTTGTCTCTATTGTTCTTCCAGGCTTTTAGGACCATAGATTGGGTTTTTGTTTTTTGGTTGTTTTTTTTTTCTGGGTGGAGGGACAGTCCCTCACTATCAGGTTGTTTCAGTCATTACTATAACTTAGATATGTTGATGCAGCTCTTAGTTTCTCTTCACCATGTGGAAAGAAGCACCATCCARAACAGATGTGCAATTTCCCATAATGAGGATTATGTTAACAGGTATTTAATAGAACAAAAGATTCAAGACCTTTGGAGTTCCTACCGCACCTWCTTCAATGAGGCTTTGTTCCTCTACATGGCTTCAGGGAGTTGTTGCGACACATATAATTAAGAGCAAGAAATGTTTACCTGGGGCTTAAAATTCAGCCAGCCCATAATATACTGCCAGCATTCTCCACACAAGTGTGTGCTCCCAGTGTTGCAAATGGAGTGACACGCTTACCTTGGAAGAGAGAAATAGCAATGTTTATTTTAACGAAGTTCAATAGTAAACATAACACTGTTCTAACCAGCTTTGATGGCAAGATACACTTGATTATTTGCTGCATAGAGGGCAAGGTGAGACAAAACTGTCAGAGACACCCTTATGTTGAGCCATAGGATTCAGAAAGGACCCCTTTGCATTCTAAATCCCTTTCTCAGGCCATTTCCAGGTGCAGCTGGATCCAGACCTGTGTCCAGGCTAGGAAACTTAGGTCTGAAGGATTATATATGCACAAGCAATCCTTTATCTCACTTAACTAAGATTTCAAAGTTTCAGCATGCTTATTCACAATTCACTTACTGAGTATTTGATGGAATAAGAATTCTGTCAACCTTGAGGAGCAACCTTGAGAGGCATCCTTGTTTAAGGGGAGATTCTGGCATGCAGCCTACTGCTGTGCAGGAGAGCTCAGCAGACCCTGGGCTGTTCCCTATTTATGGAGTAAGATGATTGACTTACAGTAATATTTGCATGCCAGCTGTATTTTGGTTGGCATGCTCAAGTAGCCCTCAGCTGTTGAGCAAGTTTTATGACCCTCAGCTATTGTGTTGTTATCTGTCTTCCCAGWGGCCGGCTTTAGGCCAGGTGCAGCCCTCACAACCACCACTGTTAGCTCTTGCTTGAGCCAAAAGCAGYGGGGAACACACTGCCACACCCAGTGAGCTCATCCTCACCAGCCCCTCCGTGTAGGATCTTCTGTAGCATTACAACCATTGGAGGTTTTGCCACTGATTACCATGGCTGTTAGATCAGAAACCTCAGGTCAGTACGAGAATACGCTCATGATCAGAAGGATGTGTGGTTTGGATGAAGAGGGAAGACTTCTCTCTCAGTCCTTCACAATGGTTTGGAAATCGATTGAAAATGTTAGYGAGAGGCCCTTTTATTTCCTCCTGGAAAAATCATGTATATTTATTTCCTGCAATAAAATAGGCTAATGGTAGTAAAAAGTGAAGTTCTAGAAGGAAAAAATTGATTTCTCAGCTAATTGAGTAGAGAGGGGGAAATTACAAATCCCCGGTTGCTTATTACGGATTGACTAGCAGCATTTGGCCACAGAAAGCAACATGAACACAGTTTTAACACACAGGTGGCTGCAGGAGTGGGGCTGTGCTGCATGTGAGCCCAGTATCTCCTTAAAGTGGTTCAGCCTACTTTYCCAACTACATTGCAAAGTGAGTCAGACTGAAACCGTTGTTGATTGTCTGCTCCATTTCAGATAGTTGCATGTTCGTTTTAGCTCTAAAAACAAGTTTATGTCAGCGTTTTCTGTTCCTTGTAGTTACATCAGCTTTTCAAAATCGTTTTTGAGCTAAATGTAAGTTTCCCGAAGTTCAAACTTTGGTACAAATATTTCTTTCCTTACTGCTGCCTCACTGAAGCAGATGGTGAGTACTAAGACTCAGAACCAGTAAGCATGTAATTATTCAATTTCTGGGTGCAGAAAAGTAGCTGTTGGGCCAAAGTAGACATCTACAGGACAGGCTGTCATTGCAAATTAGTTTGAGTTCAAGTCCCCTGGATTTAGCCCAGTAACACTCCGGTAGTAGATTGCATGAGCTGCACAGATGCCTTGTTGCATTTCCAGCTATGGTTTCACCCACACCCTCTGGCAGACCATCCATCCTATGCTGAAAGTCTGTTCCAGCTCTGTGGTTTTTTTGTGTGAGCAGCAATCTTATTAGGGATGGCACCTAGGTTAGGCCTTATCTTAGTAAAGACAAAACTGCAAAATTCACCCTGCTCCATGTTACAAGGATGTCACACACATAATTTGCATTCTCACTATGGTACCCCTCAGTACCTCGGCACACAGACCATGATGCAGTGCTGTGCATGGGGGACAGATAAGCAAACAGGTGATTGCAGAGGAGTTACTTCAGTGCAAACTGGTCTTGGGAAAAACTTGATTCTGCAAATTGCAAAACAACTTTTACTCCCTCCGAAGTCAAGAGAAGTTCATTTCACTTTTCAAATTCACTTTGGTTAACCTGGTCTTGGCACCCTGGCACTTACTTTGTTGTAAARAAAATTGGTATCTGTAAAGATCAAAGATTTTCTAATTTAAGGTAGGAGGAAATGTTTGCTGCTGATGAAAACCTTATCTTCATAATAASCAATAATGCAATCTGATCATCTACCATTACTGAGTTTCCTTTTCTTTTTTTTTTCTTAAGCTGAATTTACATCACCTGTAGACAGAAATAAGGAAAATGGACTGAAAATGTCAAACCTATGCAAATTCTGTGATATTAAAGTAACGACCTGCTCAAACCAGCATCAGTGCAAGAGCAACTGCAACATCACTTCTATCTGTGAGGAGAGCAGTGAAGTCTGTGTTGCTATATGGTAAGTTATTTCTTCATACAGTTGGGGACAGGGGCAACACCCTCATTCGTCATTGCTTAGTCCTTTCTTCAATTGCTCTGATATTCAGAATGTCCCTGCTACCTCACCAGGCTTTGCTGTCTCGCTTCCAACTCATATCTGTRCCCAGCATACCAAGAGTTGCTTGAGGTTAACAATTCTTATATGAAATGTTCTGGGGACTTTTTTTCTTCTAAAACAGTTCTGTTCCAGCTTAAGCTGTTGGAATAGAGGCAYGGTTTTGTGCAAACAATTAAGCTGTATCCACCCACAGCACTCTAGAGCAGAAACAGATTTGAGGCTCAAGCGAGGATTGTGGTGACAGCTGCTGAACAAAGACAATTCTCTTAGGTTTCAAGTGAACTAGATTATGTAGATTTATCACAAGAGGCTTATTGCCATGTATAGGTAGAAATACTTCCTCTTAATAGGAAAAAACTTCTGTGTAGGTAGAGACTTTGATGTAGGCATGATGCTTTTTATATAGCCTATGTCTAGGTTCAAAGAAATCAAGAGTTTATGAAAATGAGTTGTAATACTTTTTTGGGATTTATTGGCTTTAAGCTTGTGTTCCCATGTAAAAACTGAGAGTTTGCTCTTCCATAAATGGGAATCCAGTCTTGCCAAAGAAAACCAGAAATGCTCTTAATGAGTTAATAACTGGATTAAAGGAACAGAACTGAGTGTCTGCAGCACTGCTGCCGATTTAGGAAAATAATTAGAACCACTTACAGAGGGACATAACTACTTCATTAGCTGAGGGATTAGTCATGTCCATTGACTTGAGATGTTGGAAGTAGGTACTTCAGTTCAGGATCAGTCCAGTGTGGTGTTCCATATTTATCCTATGCTTCTTTAGTAAGTCATCAGTGTCTATTGCCATAAAAAGGGGCTGTTGTACAATTTAAGATAAATTCTGGATTTTTCATGACCATTTACCCAAAAGACAAGTAAACACTGTGAAGTGTTTTTTTGCCTTTGAGTCTTTTGTCAATGAAATTAAATCTGTGGACCAGGACAAAATACAGGAATACGGTCTGGATTGTCAGCTGTAAATATTTGCCTGACTGTGAGGCAATTCTAACTTGCATCAATTTTATGATTGGTGTTTTGGTGGGGGTCTTTTTTGGTTGGTTGAGGGATTTTTATATATAAGGATCACTTCTTCCATGCACAAACTGTGCTGATTGTAGGCTTCAAAAGCAAAAGGAAAAGGCCAACTCACTAGAAATTCCTCAGATTTTGAGGAAATCATTCAGTTTTTCTCATAATTTCCCACAGATTTTTACTGTCTGCTCACTGACCACAAARACCAAAAGTATGTTCTGAAGTTCACAGCAGTTCATTGAGCATTAATTTGAATAATTCTAAGTGAGATTTTCAGAGGCACTCTTCTAAGCTTAGCGGCAATATGATATAGAAATAGCTATTGCCATTATACAAATGTGAGAAGCCCAGACACAGCCAAATTTACGCYGTTCAGGAAAGACAGTGAAGAACATATGATGCTCTTTAAATGCTATTTATATTCTGAAAAGAGGCAAATTTTGGGCAGGTGCAGTCCTGTCTGCTCCCTTTGTAAAATACTCCTTTTTAGATTTCGATTTTCTCCTTTTCATTTTTAGGAGACAGAATGATGAAAATGTGACATTAGAAACAATATGCCACGATCCCGACAAAACACTGTATGGTCATGTTTTGGATGACTATAAATCAGAGAAGTGTTTGATGAGGGAAAAGAAGGATGACGGGGGATTGATGTTCATGTGTTCCTGTACAGGTGAAGAATGCAATGATATGCTCATTTTTACATCAGGTAGGTTTAAYAATTTATCTTGAATTCCTACATTCCTTGCAAGTAATATTAACTGTGTTGTACCAATGTCCTTTGGAATTGCATTTAGTGGGGGAAAAYTTCTAGTGGCAGATGCTATTTTGGTCTCTTTTGAACCTTGCAAAATCTCAACCTTTCTTTTCTGTGTTCAGAGGGTACTTCTTCCTGCCAGGCTGTCCTCAGTTTGAAGTAAGTCTGAGATTCAGSTCAAGGCATTGCACTTAAAGGCTGATGGAATGTGAAAGCAAGATTCTTACAGTTGCTCTGCTGACATGCCAAAATGCAACACCTGCTAATTACATTATCGAATTTGAACTAGAGATAAATGCTGTGTTTAAGACCTTTTCCCTTCTAAAAAGTTGTATTGTCATAGTGTGTTATCTGCATATACAGATGTTACTGGTAAGCTGATAGGATGTGAATTTTAAGTCGKTTTTTCTGGTGTGACTGACCATCTGCACCCCTCCTGTGGTGGGTGTGAAGTAGCTCCGCTTGTTCTCTGGGCAATATGTTCTCTCACATCTACTACGGCAAAGCAAGTGTGTGTGAGTTAAACCAGGGAGATGTGAGTATGGACCAGACCACAAGTGCAYAACCTGTTCCCATTCTACTTCATGAGCTCTAGTAGGCCCCTGAAAATAAGTGAAGGCGGCACAGGCGTGTACAGTACTGGTGCTGCACACATAGATGTGCATGGGTGGGTGTGTGCAGTTCCCTTGCTTTATTTTCTCCAGCCTCCTGTGATTCCTTTACTGAGGAAAAGTCAGGTCTGGCACCAGCAAGCGTGAGACCTCCTATGGAGAACTTCCTGCTCACACASTTGGGCACACCACAGCCATCCCCATCACCCCTAAGTTCCTCAGAAAAGGATATAATTGAGTGCTTGTTACTTTGGGTAATGGAGGGTTGGGACAATGTTTCCACTCCTGGGAAACATGGTGTGTGACTGCACAGAGATGTACAACTATGTGAGCAACTTGTAGCTCTCTCTCACAGCCTCCAAGAAGGCTAACTAGTTTAGGTCACAAAACCACACCAAATTAGCCAAGAGCAAGCTAGCAAGTCTTTCAATCCCTTGGTCCAGGCTATCCATATCTGGTGCCACTCGTCATCTCTGTCTTACTCATCCCTTCCCCAAGCTTGATTTCAAACCAGACAACCTGACTGCTTGTACGTGGCTGTGTGAACAACCCCTACCTACGTCAGCTTTAGAGGATTTGGAATTATACTGGTGTTGATGTGAGCACAGGTGATAGACCCAGCACCCAACTCTAACAGATTGCCTTGATTTTACTGAAGAGAACGTGTTCCCAGTGAAGAGATCTTGCTCTGTGTCAGCTYTCTAGTGTTTTTGTAGGACATGAACCACACCCTTGTGGATTTTGGCTAATTTGTTATGAATTAGTCACGTTACAGCTGTTTATCCTGGAGCTATGTAACTGAATGCAATCTCTGATAAATGTGTGTCTTTGGTGTGTATGGTCATGAAAACTGTTCTAGAAATTCAACGCCCAATACCTTCATTCCTATCAACTCTGCAGTCCATTCACACTTCCAGAGCAACCTAAAAGGAATCATAGAAGTTTAAACCCAGTCTTTATACCCTAATTCCATTCACTCTTCCAAGTGGAGCTTTTCCTGCTAGGTCATGTGCTGTGAGCGCTCTAGGTGACTCATGAAAACCATGTGCTGCATTCGTATGTATTAAGTGAATAACTACAGAKAAAAATTAAAGTAATGTAAAACTTCACTCTGTAACATTTCCAATTCATTCACAAACACAGGCATTAACTCCAGTCAGGAGGGGGGAGAATTGAGGCTCTGTCATTCCTTTTTTATTGTTGTGGATTAGTGTTTCTTTTAAATGAAAACAGCCCCTTTGGGTTGCTTGCCTGGTTAGCCATGGCAGGAAGACAAACGATTTTTACAGTATCAGACATGCGGTTTCCTGTCTGTGTTTAACTTTGAGCAGAACATCACAGCCAGCTGGTCCATGGCTCCTCCAGACAACTAGATAATAGCCTGTAATAATTTTGCCTTTGGAATGACTGTCATCCAGATCTATTCTGTACATTGTTCTTGAGGTTTTTTTTCCTCTACATTTCTTGTGCACCAGAACAAGAATTTGTTTTGCAGTGGTTTTGCACATTCTATAGTTTTAGAAAGCAGACAAGAACTACTCTAAAAAATCCTGATCAGACAGTGATTTTAATCATCTATTAGCAGAAACTGAGATAAAAATATTGCAATTTTTCTCATGTTAATCACAGCATTTCCTTTGAAGCTATTGCTATAAATGAAAAGTGTTTCACCTCTTCTTCCTGTATGCACACTTAAGACAGACAAGATTTAGTTTGTTCCTGGTGTTTCTGAGGTAAGAGAGAAAATGGTGGGTAAGGCAAGAAGTTCTAATTTCCACCAAAGGTTAGTCACTAAATTCCAGTGATTCACAGCTGAGTTGTTACTGCTTATGGAAGGATTGGTTTATAGCACTGTTGGCTTGCACCAGTCTTGACTGTGAAGGGCAAGTCTCCTCACTCCATTTTTAGACACAAACATCTAAAGGTTTTGGGTRTTGGAGGTGTTGTGACTCACCCATGGTTGACTTTAGAAGTGCTTGAAGTCATTACATAAAAGTGAAATGCCTATTTCTTGTATGGATTTTCATTTAAATTGCCAATCTGCAAGATAAATAAGACACAATCAGACATGTGCCCAAACATTTCTGTAGTTCTGCTATGTCAGGGGGCTGACCCTGATTCAGATCCCTGGCATTTCAGGCCACAGGCAGCTGGTGGAAAATACTGAGTGCAGAATCACTCTAAACGATGTTCTCTAGTTCTTGGAAAAATAACACGCAGCAAACAGGTAACCATTGTAAATCTGACTACTCTGTGTTTATTTTTCAATCCCGCTCTTTTTTTTGCCAAACAAAATTGTGGGTGACTGGCATGCAGCTTACACCCCTGTGGTGGAAAAATGCTTCTCACAGCAAAACTCAATGCCAGTGTTTTGYAATTATTATTTATTCAAAAATCTAATGTCAGTGTTACCAGAAGGCAAAGACAGGGAGCAAAACCACTGGAAAAGGTTAGCCAGAATCAGGGCTAAAAGGCTTTGGGAGGCTAGAAGTTGGCTAGSTGGCAGGCAGAGGCCTGGTCCTTCTGTCATGGAAAAAATTAGCGCAGGACTAGACTACTATTTTTCACTCCSCGCTGTCTGGTTGTGTCTGATGGATCTTCTGCATCTCGCTTTACCTTCTYCTACTTTGATCCGCTGTGATGAACCAGGTCTGTCTGTAGGTGTTTGCACAGTCCCAGTCCTCCCTTGATGTTTGTTCCTCAGCTTTCCCTTCACCACAGCATCTCCCACCCTCTCTGGAATTAGCCAGTGGCAACATGACAATTGCCTAACAAAGCCGGRTTTTATTAACAATCCCAAGTTCTTTGACTGAAGTCGAGCCTTGTTTACCCTAAGGGACCAAGCAGAACTTGGCAGAACCAGGCAGAACTTTCTGGCCCCACATCTGACCCATTCTCCATGGACAGAGATGACCAGGTACTCATTGTAGACAAGAAAATGGGATTCCTGCATGTTACTTAGTGCATGACCTACCTGCTGTGCCATGCAAGTCCTTGCTCTTGTGCAGCTCATTCAGACTCTGTCATTCAGCAATATGCAAATCAGCAGGGGAAACTGCAAACAAGAAAACAAATCCTTCGAGTATGTTGTCAGTATGTAAGCAGCTGTTATCCTGGGCACCAAATTCAAATCCAAGCAACAGTGCATAGAACTCAAAAGTTGGAACCAGGATTTTAACACAGCTTTCTTTGGGTTGTAGTTGTTTYATTCTAATAAGTTACATGGTTACTTACTTTTTATCCTCACTTTTTATGTCTCTTGCCGTACTATGCAAATCTGCACACAGCTTGCAACCAAGGTGTCTGTGGGATTTTTCAGGTAGACTGCGTTCATTGCTCACCTACCACAAGATGAGGTCATTATTTTGGGCATTCCCACCACACCCAAATATGGAGAAACCTTTGGCAAAGACTCTGAACCTTGGAAAATTGCCTTGAAAAATACCAAAACCTCAGTGATGGAGATGACTGACAGGTCAACAAGAGTTTATAAGAATAATGAAGCTAATTAGAGAAGTATGTTGAGGGAGGGAGTGTGTTGTGCTGCTAAAAAACTTCATATTGATGATGGTCTTACAGAGTTGTCTAATTGAGAGTGTACGAGACATACCTATTTGATTAATCAATTGTGGCTGAGTCATTTGCCTGAACCAATTACAGCCTATGGATTTGCAGTGAGTCAAGTGCTGTGATTGCTCACTGTGTGTGGTTGTTACCTGGGAGAGCTGGTGTTGCTCTGCTGCCTGGAACCACTACAAGCGTGCCTGTGTGATGCCTTGTCCTGTGCCCAGACTGCAGGAGATATGGATAATGTTTTAGAGTGTCCTGAACTTCAAATCTCTCATTTGTCTCTAACATGTTGTCCCTGTCTTTTCCTTTCTTTCTCTCCTCTTCCTCTCCTTACTAGAGTCACAGTGTTAATGATTTTACTTGACTGCATAGGAGGATCTCAAACTTAAGAGCAGACTTAAGATCTGTGCAGAAGCAGTCACCAGTCCATAAATACTCACRTGATGAGTTGTCCGGTGCTCAAGGAACATCAGAAGGGAGATGATTACAGCTGGACTGCTTCCAAGTGAATTTTAACAAAGRCTTTCATTAATCTCTTTTTCTGTTATCCAACTAACATGTTCAGAAGGTAACTGTCTTCCAGCTGCCCCATAAAAGAGGTCAGTAACATTACATAACGTTGCACAGAGCCTCTCACTGCTTGTACTTTGGCTTTGTTCTCTGTGTTTCCTCTTAGGTATTTGCAGGCACAAGAGTCCCACCCAGTGCCTGCAGCTGTGTGTAACCAAAGGAGAGGCTGCCTAATGCTGAACATCTGATTCTCTTAATGGG